AAAAACAGTAACACCAAGTCTCACTTCGCGTTCCTGCATCGAGCAGACACCATTGGGCTACACTAGCATGAGACAGGGACGAATGGAGATATTCCTGATGCCCACTTGAGCAAATCGATGAACAATGGGACAACAGTGTTGCTACAGTGCTACAGTACTATGAGAGCTAAAAGTCACATCTTTGCATAACTCTGCAATGATCTGCACCAGCTCCTCCTCACTCCTCATTTCCTTCTGCCCAAAGACAGTAGTCCAGGTGACCTGCAAAGAGCAGCACTGTGAGGGAGGACTGGATGCCAGGGAGGGGAGGATATAGGAGACTAATTAGGAAGGGAGGGTACAATGGCCACATTTAATCCTACAATTTGACTGAAATCCTTCTTTTAGGAAATTGCAGTATTCACATTAGAACATCAGTTGGCAACTGTAAAAGCTTAAATTTACTAATATGTAGCTTACTGTTTAAAAGTCTGAAGTATAAAGGTATGACTCAAACACACATTTCATGCAACAATAACTTGAACAATGTTTTAGCTGGCCAGCCTTCGAAAGCCAACTTTAGATTCCAAAGTCTTTTCATATGGGTTGAGGATTATCTGTCTTAGAAAACAGTTCTATCTCAAAATATTTTTAGGCAAGATAATGTAGTCAGAGCTGAGTTCTATTGTAATGATGCCAGCTAGCAAGATATAAACTTGAACTTAATGTCAAAACATAGTTGGGATTAAATGATAAAGTAGAGAAGAATGCTTTTTTAAAGGACCTTATCTCTTGGGTTTGAGATTAAGAAAAAAAAGAGCAGGATTGAATTTGGAAAGAATGTGTTGATAGCTACCTTAGATCATGCTCCAGCAATCTTATTATTCATTTTGATTGTATTCTGAATCCTTTCCTTTGAGTGAAAGAGACTTGAATGTGAACTTGAAGGAGCTGTGTTGCAGGGTGGGGGGTGGGGGTGGGGGAAAGCATCTCCTAGAAAGATGTCTCCCATAGTGTCCTATATAATTGAGACTCTTGTCAAATAAACACTGTGCATTTAATCATCTGGAAAGCTGACTTGTGTCCATGGAGTAAGCTAGTGACTGGTTTGCAGGAATTTGAACTGCCTCCCAGCAACAGTTCTAATTACATCTTTGCTTTGGAAAAACCAGGATAAGTTCTACCTAGGCTTTCCATTAAGATGATATTTGTGGCTCATCTCTGAGCCACACTGTTAGGATACAGAGTAAGAGGTCATTATTGGGCTGTGGGGTTAAAGGTCTATTCACAGCTGCACACAACTTTCTTTTTCCTATTTAGTTTTTTATCTAATTACCCAAAATCTTATTTATAAATAAATTTCTGGTGTGCAACCAAACTGAAATAATTTTATAAACTTAACAATTGCGTAATCATTCAGAAAGGGTGGATGGAATGAAGCTGTTTTACCATATTTGAGTACTTAAATTCCCTGATGGCTAATGAAGAAATTTGAGACTAAGAAAGAGCACGTTTTTGCTCCCACCCAGAAAGCATTAAATATCAGATTTTTTAAAAAGTAAGCCTCAGTGATTCACCAAAAACTTTTCCGAAATTATATGACCTTGATTTCTATCTATGTTAGGTCATTCTGACACTCAAAATGCCACAAGCTGAGGCTTAAACAGCATTTATTTATTTTTTCTATTATGGAGACCTGGAGTCCAAGGTCATCGTGCAGGGGAGGGCTATATTTTGATGTGTTGCCTTGATGCCCCATTCTAAGAAGTCCCCCTTCTCACTGGGTTGTCCAGAGCCCTTCCTGTGTAAGTATTGAGAGAGCTGAGGTATCTATCCCTTAGAAGTCCACCAGCCTTGGCCACACAGGCCCATCTAATGACCTCCCTGATTTTAATGACCCCCCAAACCATCTCCAAATGCAGTCATCTAAGGGATTGAGTTGTCATCATAGAAACTAGGGGAGACAGTTCAACTTGAAGCAACTTCCTTTGCAGAACACACACTATAATCTTCCCGTTCTAGATGCAGAATCTAAGTTTGGGTTTTCTCTGGAGGGGGAGTTGGACCACATGCAGTGGTACCCAGGGCTTATTCCTGGCTCTGTGCCCCCTGAGTGACCCAGTGGTCCTTAGGGGATTGACATGTGGTGCCAGGAATTGAACCAGAGTCAGCTAAAGAGACTGCTTGCAAGACAATGGCCTACCTCCTGTATCTCTCCAGCTCCATAAACTCAATTTTGTAGGCATTTCAGTAACTTGAAAATTTGCTTAGAAAAGAAATATGATCATTGTACAGGGCAATTATTTGAATAAATGTTGTATTGGCTTTAAAAAATGGCAGAGAATAGGTTCTTCAAATTCAGTTGAAGAAATATTGAAGATGTACGTGGTATAATTTTTTCACTTAGTTGCGGGAATTATAGTCCATATTTTAGGTTCTCTTGAACTAATTCTGTCAGAGGTGTTCTTTTGTTGTTGTTTTTTGCTTGTTTGTTTTGTTTTTGAGTCATACCTGGCTGTGCTCAAGGCTTACTCCAGGCTCTTCTCTCAGTGGTTACTCTTGGTGGGCTCTGGGGACCATATGTAGTACTGGGAACTGAACATAGGTCAGCCAAGTGTAGGTAGTACAGTACTTAGTACAGTACTATCAGTTCTACTGTTGCTTTGGCCCAAGGATCATTTCATGGTATTGCTTTCAAATTATCATCTACCTATAAAAAGATCGCCACAGCAGGAAGAGGAAGGAACCACAACAGTGTTAGAGGATGTGGTCCATTTGGGTAAGAACTGAGCACTGAAAGCAGGTAGAGTGATCTGCATGATGCATTTTCAGTAACAGTACTGCAAGTCACAGTGCCTTCAAGGAAAAAGGAAGAAGAGAAAAGTAGCTTCCATAAAGGCAGACTGGGAGAAGGAGAGAGGGGAACACTATTGAAGGGATAGGTGTTGGAACAATGTTGGCCTGGAGCTCAGTCCTGAATAACGTTGCAACTTGGTAATTCAAGGTGATTCAGTAAATTGAAAAAAAAAATCATTTTCTGAGACCTATACATGAATAAAATGGCAGATTAAAAATGATATTTTTGGCAAAGTCTGTCAAGATACAAACCAATTTTCTTCTCGAATATATCTCTAATTTTTTTGGTTTATTCTCAGTAATACTCAAATGCTGAGATAAGTGACTAAAATTGAAATTGCTATTGGACATTCTAAGAAGACATATTAGAAGAGAATTTTGGTTAATGTGATACTGGAAAATTCTATTTTCTAATATATTCTGTGGCTCAGAGATCATTACTTGAAAATAGAGCGGTGTCACTGTGTCATGAGGAGTATGTCTTTCCACTCAGCACAACCACCTCAAACCTGTCAGAGGTTTGTGATGACTGAGGTGCTGAGGGAGTGAAGTCCTCCTGCTTTTCTGCTTCACTCTCCTGTGTGTCCTTCCTTCACCTGGCTAATTTCTTCCCTAGTATGGGAGAGAAATTAGGTGATTCTTGCAGGAGTCCTCAGACCCTCCACGAGAAGTCTACCAGACCTCCGCAAAATGAATTTAAGATTACATTTGCTTCTGCTGTCCTTTGTTATCCACAAATGAAGAGTGTGTCTGGCATTTCCAGTAAATACTTAGCTTCTAGTTCTGCTAGGAACCCATGATGTACATGTCATCTGAGTAACTTTGTTTTCTACCATGTCCTCCTTTAATATTCAGCCCCGAAGATAAAAATGTCAAAATGATGATCTTGAAGTTTAAGTTGCCAGATTGCAGTCATTTCTGTGCATAATTATATAAATATGTCATCAGTTAATAAGTGTAGCAGGAGAAAAGTTCTAAATAGTAAAATTGCCATTAAAATCTGATTTAATGTTGAAAACAGGTGCTTTTGCTCTGATTATTATTTCTTTGAGTTTCTAATGGGGAATAAAGTTGCAAGTAATTTTTCATGTTAGAGAAAACATATTGCAAACATTCTGGCAAGCTTTCTCATGAGGCCACCCCATTGCTGCATCTCTGATTGCTGGCAGCATCCTCCGTCCTACTAGAGCCCAGTGGGATCCATGAAGCATCAACTTCTTTCTGAACCTGGGTCTCAAGTCTCTGTCCCGGGCTCTCTTTAGAGTCATTCAATTTGAAGATGCTTATATTTTCAGTTAAAAGTCAGAACAGTGCATTCATGTTATTTCCTGGTATCAGTTTGAGGCTCAAAGCACACTTTGCTTCCCCACTTCATCTCATATCAAGTAGCTTCATTTCATCTTATTTCATGTCCTCTCAGTTCCATCTTTACTTGCATTTGGTTTACCATTATTTAGTGTAAACCAGATACATGGTGTTATGAGGTTCTGTGTACACCAAGATCATGAATGTCAACACTGTTGTAAACAGATGATTTTAACTATGATACATCTCAAAAATGTATTTGATGACTATATTAGAGATCTGGAGGTTTGACTATTCAGAACTCACTCAAGGGCACATTGGTCTAAAAGTTTTTTTTATCACCACTGGTATTTTTAGGATCAAGCACACCTATCATCAGAAGTCAAAAAATAATCAGTTATTCAATGATCAATATTATACTTACATATGGGTCTAAGAGGACTGAATTGGCATAGACCTGTGGCTAAAGGGAAAAGATTGTGCTGAATGACTAGCCTTCAGAGTGGAATTTGAAGGCACATTTTTGGTTCCCAGTTTGCTGACAAAGCAACTGTGGGCCCTTCATTCTCTGACATTCTCCATTTTTAGAGCTAAAGTGGGGTAAGACCAACGGTGGAGGAATTTTTAAAGGCATGACCTTTAAATAATGCATGAACCAGGACCTATGTTTATCTTTATTTTCATATATTACCACTGTTTGAAGATATGTCAGTACTGTTGTCATTAAGTCATGAAACCTTTGGAAACAATTTAAACACTTTACTTAAGTTTAAATGAAGATGTTACATGTACCTTGTGTATTTGCTTTGTGACAGTGCATTTTAACCTAAACTTGCTTTGTTTTCTGAAATTTTTTAAAGCACAGAACTGTTACACTTCGCAGACAGCCTGTTGGCGGCTTGGGCCTGAGTATAAAGGTATGAGCTTGTGATTTCCACCCCCTCCTGCCTCATGACTACCTCAGTATTGACCATAAAGACTTTTGTTCTGCTGTCTTTCAGGGAGGCGCCGAGCACGGAGTCCCTGTCGTCTTGTCAAAGATTTTCAAAGACCACGCAGGTACCCCAAACCAATGGATTAAGCATACATCATAATAGTTTGCAAGATAGAAGCCATTTGAAGTGATAGGAATTAGCCAAACAATTATTTTGCTTGGTTATTTATAATGCCATGTTGTTTTTGCCATTAATTTCTTAGTGCATCCCGTTACAACACTGCCCTTTGCATTTCCTCCGACCCTTCAAGCCCTTAAGAGAGCTACTGATTTGCAGCAAATCTGAAGAGAAATGTAATCCAAAAGAGACCTACAACTCTAAATTTTCTTGGATGTGTTAAAAAGTTGAGTCTTTAAATGAGAGGAGGAAATTGGTGGAGCTCGTTGAGAATTCAGAGAGAAAATTGTATTCCTCCCTCTAAAATGTCATGAGAATCACGTCTGGTAAAAGGTTGGTGTCGGTGCTGCTTATGGAGTGCTGATACCACACAGAACATTCAGCTGCCATTTACTGAGAGATAGCTGTGTATCGACAGGAAAGTGAGGGTGGAAATTCTGGCCACACATTCCAAATTTCTCACACAAGAGGGAGAATTTCTTGTAGAATAAAATCACTTTGTTAAATGACATAAAGCAGTCCATATACTTTTGTTTGTTTTGGTTTGGGGACCATATCCAGCCATGCTTAGACATCACTCCTGGCTGTGCTAGGGATTGAAGCAAGACTGTCCTGCATGGAAGACAAGCTTTTAAACCCCTGCACTATGTCTCCAGTTGAGAATAGTCCATCTCATAATAGGGTTTCCACTGTGCAAACAGCTGGGCTCTCCTTCATTGGCATGTCAGCATCCCCTTCTCCTAATTCTACTGATCCTACTCATCAAGCATCAAAAGGTGGGAGCATAGGCCTTAAATGAACTAACCTCTGTGTTAGTCTGTTAGGTGTGGTGTGTGTGGTATGTGGTATGGTTGAGTGGTGCACTTGTGTTTGTGTGTAATTTCTATATGTCACTGAGGTGGTTTCTTCATATGTGGTGTGTATGTGAGTGAATGTGTCTGTGTTATTGTGGATCATATGAGTGCTTATGTGTGCTCATGAGATTCATGAGATTTATTTATCCCTGGATTGGAAAGGAAATAGGGAGGGAATCTTGAAAAGGGGAAAAACTGGTCCCACATCAAGACTGTTCTTGAATAATGACACCCTACTTGTTTATTGGAACTCATATAACAGTTGGGTAAAATGAGTAAGCAAGAAGTCCACGTGTTTTCTCAACATTTTGATTCCCATTCATTGATTTTATCCAAACTGTATCCAGTATCATCAAAGCATATGGTCACCACAGCTCTGTATTGCACGGAAAGGTGAGGTCCGGCCCAGAACCCCACCTGCCCATCCTCTGACATCTGCGTGCCAGAGGAATGTGGGTTTGGCACAACGGTCCCATTAGCCTTCCACAACCCACACAGAAGTAAGCTGGCTGTGGAAACTGTTGGAATGAAATAAAGGTGGATTTCCCCATAGTAATTCTGACTCTGTTCCTGCTGAAGAAGAAATTTTACAAAATAACTCACCATTACATTCGCATCTGCCTGAAGACTCATTTTAATCAAATGACCATTTAGGAGTAATTCTTTCTACATACATTTTCCCATTTGTGAGTGAGGATGTAGGGCTGGTGCCTTAACTAGCATGTCCTCAGTACAGCAAGGCTGGGACACTGTCTTCAGATTATTCACTTCCTTCAGAGGGAGTTCCTGGCCCTTATTGGTGCTATTTCAGTTGGCCCCAGAAAAGAATTTGTTTTATAAGAAAATAAGGATTTAATGAGAACCATAGAAAACTGGAATAAAGTTCTATAGAAGTCTCTGAAGCAAATAGCCATTCCCTGGACTCACCACCCAACTGCGGCAGAGGTTTTTAAAGCATTTAAAAACAAACACTTTTTTAAATTTAGATAAACATAATTTTAGGGAAGATGAACGTGTTTGCATTGTACATACAAAGTGTTGTAATTGTGGAACTGAAATGCATCTCAAAGTCAGTGCCCTGGTGCATTTTCAGGGAAAAATCTACAAGACATAAATCAATTTATTATTGAATTAGGCATGTTTAATTACTTCTGCACCATTGTAAGCCATCTGGTTGACTGGTTAATAATTGAAGGCAGGATTGCTCAGATAAATTTCTGTAATCTTGGTGAGCACTTCTTTTTCATGAGTATATTCTTCGTCTGCGACTATGAATATGTTGCAGGGAACAAGGAGTAAGACTGACTAGCAGATAAGGCAGAAAAGGATTTTGTGCTTATTTCACAGAGAAACATTAGATTTATATATTTCAGCCATTGATGGAAGACCAGTGTGGAAGTTTACATGCAGTTCAGTAGATGGGATAGAGTCTGTGTTGTGTGGAGAGCAGCCTCCCTCCTCTTTACCCTCTCCAATCATCACATTTTCCCTTGAGCAGAAAGCGGTATCCAGGCCAATGGGGAGTTAGGAGCCAGTGGGGAGTCTCAAAAGAAAATGAGCCCTGCATCCCACACTCTTCATTAACTCTAGAGTCAAAGCATGCAATACATTTGTCTTCTGAAATGAAAATTCTTCTCTTCCTGCTGTGGAAGAGAAAGAAATTCAAGTAGTCATAATGCCCCTTACTCCCAGGCTTCTATCCTTCCTGCTGTGGATGACTATTGAAGCCTGTGTCCTTGGTCAGCTTCTCCTCCTGCCTATTCCATGCTAGATCATGCTAGATCACTGTCATCCATTTCCCACTACTTGTTGAGCTGCCTTGCGACTTCAGTCTCCATCACACTGTCCTATCTCCATCGCTTCCAGGATCGCCATTGCCCTTTCTGCACCTACACTGTCCCACCCTGAGTTTCCTTGAAATAATAGCTCACAGTCCTTGACCCTGTGGTCCTATATGAAGATTTGGGACTAGAGTGCATTTCAGTCAGGGTCTGTCATTACTTCACCAAATGTACACCTTACACTCCAACTCTTTGCATTTTATCAAGATAAAAATGCTTAAGGAACTTGAGTTTTAGAAACCAGGGCTTGGTTTAGATGAACAAGTCTCCTTGATTATAGTACCGAATGTGAAGGGGAAAGAAAGAGGGCAGCCATGAGCTCACTCTAATGCTCAGTGTGAATTGCCACACACATAAGGTACGGGAAGAAGAGGATTGTGGGGCTTCTGTGTGCCCTGCCTGACATCCGAAAGTACTGGAGACTGTGAGGCATCATGCCAGGAAAGGCTGAATGCAAGTCCTTAGTAGGAAAGTTGGGATTTATTCAGGGACATAAAAAATTCAGGGTAACTTATTGGAATCAGGAATGCCAAGTGATTCTAGGAGAGATCGCCTGCACCCTGTACGGTTCAGAGAGGATTGGGGCCTTATTAACCCAAAAGGAAGGAAAGGTTGTGGAAGAACTCATCTAATCTTTGCTGTGAGAACTGGGAGATGAGTTTCCTGGTGTCTGTCTGGGTGCATGTGGGAATGAAACACTGCAAATGATCAGATCACAGCAGAATGTAGAATCATCCATGCAGACATTCATCCGCAGATTTATTCAACTACACTCAGCATATAACTTCTCTGTATAAGTTGCTTTCTGGGCATCCAGCAGTAGCACTGCCTTTTCTAAAGTGTATGTTCAATCACAGAGAAGAGCAATGAATAAATATAATACACGCTGTCAACGACAACTGCTATGAAGAAAATTAAGCAGTGGCAGGGAGTAGGGAATGATGGAGAATCACTGTTTTTCATAATGTGCTCAATCAAAATATTACAGTGGATGACAATTAAGTATCTGCGCCACATGGAATAAGTCATGAACAGATCTGAACACGGAGTGTTCTGGCCCAGGAGAAAGAAGAATAATGGTGTTGATACAAGAAGGAACATGTTTGCTTCAGGAATGAGGTGATAATGGAAGTGAGGTTGGAGGCATGACTGGTAGCAAGTGGGGTTCAAAGGTGCAATGGTCATTCAGGGCCCAAAAATCCTTGGAAACAATGTGGATAATACTTCTAAGTAAAAGAGGCCATGGAGGACTCATTGGTTAGAATGTCAGATCATTATAATTTGTTTATTTATAATAAATCATCATGCCTTTTATATGAAGAACATGTTCTAGGAAGCAAGAGATATGTTAGAAAGCTAGTGTGTACAGAGGGTCTAACACATACTGATTTTGGTGAATTTTGGAGTTTAGTATTTAGAGATACTTTGAGGATGAGTCTCTACTGTGGCTGATAGGCAAGCCTCTTTATGTGAGGAGATGAGTGAATTCACACTTGAATGCATGGATTTAGCAGGCAAATAATGATGGTGTTCTATGAAATGACTCAGAGAGCAGATGGGGACTGGAAATGCAGGGAGCAGAAAGAATGTAGTGCTGGTGCTTTTTTTGCTGGGCAGTGGGCTTACATATGCATAACTTACAGGGAGATTTTAGGATAAAGAAATTTTAGAAAGAGACATTTGAACTAATGGAACAGAGGCAATTTTCTAGGGTCTTAGGTCTGTAGAAAGGAGCAAGTGCCTGATTCCCAAGGCTATAGCAGAAGGCAAGTTGAAGGGGAGAGACAGGACAACAGTTAGTTGGGGTTGGGGACTGTTGAGTTCATGCTACCTTCAGTCTCCAATGGCTTACCACCTCTTGCAAGCATGTGAATTACCTGTGGAGCTTATATGCTAGACCACCCAGACTCTGACAGCATGAGCCCCGCACCCCTACCTGGTGCCTTACTCCTTGTACAGATATAGAGATGAGGAGCACAGAAAATTGCTTGGAGGAAACCCATAGTGTAGTGAGGAAAATAATAGATAAATACTTGAATATATATGTTGCATGTTATTTTCAATGTTTGTGTGGAGTTGTGTGATTCGCTGCATATATGTATATAGCTGTAATTGGTTATTATATAGTAAATGGATTGATATGTGTATTAGACAAGTATAATATGTTTATAATCTACAAAAGAAGTATTAAACCTAATTAGTTGAGTATCATTTATCTCTTAAGGTACAATGTTTATTGCCTTTATTTAATT